ATCTTGCTCATAGCTTCTGGTAGCTTTAATTGTATAATCTTTCGTGCATATCCTATCAAGTAAAGGCGCAGGTGGCCATTTTCGTAAAACCTCTACAAATCAATCAATTAATATACTTTCAATTGAACTTTAGTACCAGAAATGATCATATCCAAATACTTCATTTTTATCAAAGCGTCGTAAGTAACTTTTCCATTACAGACTTCCAAAGTATTTTGAATTTCTTGCCTCAACTTTTCTTGTACATGTGGATTTACAGCAAGTTCGTAAGCTAAGAAACACATGAGAAATGAAGTTGTGTCGTAGCCACCAAAGAAGAAAATCAATGCTTGACCCATGATATCTTCGTTGCTGATTTGAATTTTATTTGTCATCCTATTTAAACTGAATTGTTCAGTTGCAGCATAAGAATCTTTCATGATGGTCGTTTCTTTCTGCAATTTTCCTTTCCTCGCTTCCAGGAGTAAATGAATCATATCAGGTCTAACGATTCCATTTTTTCTCATGCACATGAATAGTTTCGTTGATGACACTTCTGAAGAAATTAGCAATGTCATCGGGAAATATTTTAAACCCTAACATCTAACCAAATAATAAATAAATAATATAAATCAACAGTGTAAAGATAATTAAAAATAAATACCTTCATAACTGTAGGAAAAGTATTGTACATAAAGAATATGTATTTACGAAAACCACTAAAATCGAAGGCATTTCGAGCTTTGACGTAGAAATCATTTTGACTATCATTCAACTATCTTTGACTATCAGTAGTTGCTTTTGTATAAGCATCCTTCAATTCCAAAGAAATTATATCTTTATTCTGTTTCAAGTAAAATTCTGCAAAATGTTCGGCAGAATCGTTAATCAGATTGAACATATAACGCATTTTGCTACTAGTAAATGCTGGACTTAGTATTGATCTCATATCGCGCCACGGTTCTCCTAAAATTAAAATTAAAGTATAATGTAATATAACAAATTTAATTACATACCAATCATAGCAAAGAGACCTCTGCTCCACGCAGGGTCTACTTTTTCCCTTGCATGATTCATATGGTCAGTAAAATAATCAAAGTCCTTGATGGTAATGGTTTTGATCAAATCTAAGTCATTAACGAGCAAAATTGGTGTTGTCAAATTGTATATACCACAATATCTGAAAAAA